CTAGAGGGTATTATTTTAAATAAAACTTCAATCTTGTATTAGACCCGAACGGGCAATAGGGTATTAACTTAACTTAATACTGTTTAAAATACTCACAATCATAATCATAAATTTTGCCTAGAAATTGACGACATGTGTTGCTATAATTAAAAAACTATTTCGAATTAAAATACAAATATCTTACCAGTTTATAGAGAAAAAAATTAGTATTCGAAACGCAAATAAAAAAGTAAATGGTTTTGCCGACTTAATACCCTATTTTTTGTGACGTGCGATGTGTCACAGACATGAGTAGGTATATTTCTACCTTTGTTAATGTGAAATTTAAAAGAAAATCATTTTTACATTTCCAAACACAATGTTATTTGATATTATTACCATAAACAAAGATTTTGCACAGAGCATTAATTCAGTTACCTATATATCTAATTTATTATAAATGTACTCCCACTTTATGTGAGAGACAGAAAAATAAAAAATGGGAAATAGGTAAGTACTTTAAACTAAGAAAAACACTTAAGCACCAGAACTTTTTGAGTTAACGAAATTTTACTAGAGTAACTTAATTAAGGCTTTTACGTCAACTTCTCATCAAGTTAAGGACTAGGGAGGTAAAACGAATTCTTTTTCCCGTGGGAATAGAAAAGGCGAGTTTCGTTCGTGCTTACTTCAGCCTTTTAAAAATCCATTTTGTCATTGATTTTCTGTTACTTAGAATGCCTACTAAGTATTTGATGATATTATTCACATTGAGACTAAGGTTACGACGGATAGTTTGCTCGAATTGGAATGCAGAACATGTTAAAATAAATACTGCCTCTAAATCTAAAGAAATATTACTAGAAAAACCTCCAGGCGGTTCAAGTTTCAGACAGAATTCAAACACGCATCTTCCAATGCGTGTCCAATATGAAATAAATACTGCCTTTTTTGTGGAACTTTGATTATGTGAGAATATTTGAAAGACCTCCCGGGATAACGTATGTTTTTTTAAATATCGTCTTTGATTTTTATTTTCATGAAAAGTTTTTGTAACAAATTGATCTCTTGAAACTTAGTTTACTCTGGTATTGAAAGCGTGTATAGCAATGGCTGCCGCTTGTTAATAAGACGATTCCTAGTCTTGTTCACAAGCACTGTTTGTACGTTTGTACCGGCCCCAAACCGTTGCTAGCGCCGGTGTTGTTAACAAACCTCCATAGTGTCCCATACCTAACGTACGTATCATCATCATCAGCCTATTAATGTTCCCACTGCTGAGGCACAGGCCTTTCCTATGGCTGGAATAGGGAGATTGGGCCATGACCCACCACGTGGGCCCAATGCGGATTGGTGGGTGCTAACGACTGCAGATGCAGCCGGGACCAACGGCTTAACGTGCCTTCCGAAGCACGGAGGAGCTCGAGAGTAATTTTTGGTCACCCATCCAATGACCGACCACTGCGAAAGTTGCTTAAGTTTAACGATCGCAGCCGAACGCGCTAACCACTTGCGCCATCGAGCTCCTCATACGTACGAATACACGGTTTAAAACCATGCCTAGATCCAGACGTAGACACGGTTTAAACCATGCCTAGACCCGGGTACAAATCGTCAGATTTTGACACCATATAAAACATATATTTCCAGCCAAAAATCTGTTCAATGATTCCCAATTTCGCGCCTCAGGAATTGGCACTACTGACTCATGTAAATAATTACGTAGTACGTGAAAAAGGCGAGAGGGATTTTTGGTTGCTTGTATATTTTTTATGTTCCCTTCTAAAACAAAGAGATTCCTAAGGAATTCTATTAATGAAAGAGAATGTGTTTTCACATAACGTAACACAAGTGCGTTTCAATGGAAAACAATCCTATGGCCTTTTCCTTTTCCGCCTTCATGTAATTTATTCTCCTTTGATGTGCTTAAATAATAAAATTATTTGTCCGTAAATGTATTTTGCTTGCTCAAGGAAACACATTATGACACTTTTTTTTACCATAACGCTGATTTAAGAGAATGGAGGTGTGTGAATGGGGTATCATTATTTATTCATTTTATTTTTGTCTTCAGACAAGATTTTGCATTTCGCTAAATATTATTTTTTTTTAATTTAAAACTCAATTTGTTTGCACTATAAAACTTTCTTGACAATAACTAGAACGAAACGCTCTTAACATTCTTATTATTTTTATTTGAAAGGCAGTTTGCTGTAGGGACAGAATTTCTGCGTTCTGTTAAAAATTCTTGATTATATAACCTATCTACACAAAAAATACAGCACATTTTTATTACAAATAAATAAATCAATATCTAACAAAAAATAAATTGATTAGATAAATTAACGGGTTTACGAATGACTTTTTACAAAGTTACTATTCACTCACATCTGTTCTCGGCAAAAAAACAATCACAGTGTTTGTGTAAAATAAATCTAATTATCTTCAAAGGAGCTCGATGGCGCAGACGGTTAGCACGTTCGGCTGCAATCGTTGTAGTTAAGCAACTTTCGCAGTGGTCGGTCATTGGATGGGTGACCAAAAATTTCTATCTCGAGCTTCGGAAGGCAACTTAAGCCGTTGGTCCCGGTTGCACCTGCAGTCGTTAGCACCCGCCAATCGGCAATGGGCCGGCTTGGTGGGTCATGGCCCAATCTGAGGGAGATTGGGCCATCTATTCCATCCATAGGGAAGGCCTGTGACCCAGCAGTGGGGACATTAAGAGGCTGATGATGATGATGATGATGATGATAAATTATCAGCTTCGATAGTTCCAATTTTAATCATTAGTTCAATGTTATAGCTTAATAATTGCTATTATTATGTAGCAATGACAATGATGATAAGATGATAAAGCAAGCAAGTGTAAGTTTGTGTGTTTGAATGTCTGCTACTCAATCGTGAGATTGCATAAACTACTAAACGGACTCGGATGAAATTTGGTACGCATATAGTTTATGATCAGAATTAAGAAATGGGATAATTTTTATTCCGGGAAAAAATTAGGTTCTTATGGGATTATCAAGAAAACTTAAGTGTAATGCGGGACAAAGTCAAGAGCAGCCGCTAGTAATTGAAATAAGTTTCTATTAGCAAATGAATAAATAAGGTGATTAGTGAATTCCGATTGTGAAATTGCACGCTACAGAATCAACTTCTATTCTGTAATGACTAATCTTACTTTCAATTTCCGATTTTTGAAATGAAAACCTCTTTAGCGGCGTTGTACACCAAATAATGTTAAACTCGCGTCAGGTTAAGCACGTGGGCTGACCGCATCATGACACACAATAAAATTGGAAAGGTTATTGACTTTCAATATATTGGACGAAACATAGTAATATTTAATTTTACCGTATTATAATAATAAGTCTCTATCTAGCACGTCCACGTGGCAGCTTTATTGCGAAGAAAATGCATTTTTTTTACAATAGATGTCGCTAGGTGCGCTTAAATGTGATTCATGTAAGTTGATTTCTTTACAATAGATGTCGCTAAGTGCGCTTAAACGTGATTCATGTAAGTTGATTTTTCTGAGAGATAAACTTTTTTAATGTAATATAAATTGTCATGTTTGTGTGCGATAGCGCAATAAATAAATATTGTATTCTACCACATATATGATAGTACTTTTATACTGATAATTAAAGCAATTCGTGCAAAATTATTCCCTAACCATTCCATAATATCAAAAATGCACAACGTGAATATTGAAGTTTTCACTTCTGCCGGCACTCCCGGCGTGCAACGTCGTTTTTTTTATTAAATGTTAAATATCTATTAGTGGCTGCCTCAAGAGTCTTAACGGCATTTTGCCGTGTAACGACGCAATTAATATTTAACTTATGCCTAAAATTTTAATTATCAATGCTCGAAAGTGATATTTTCTTATAAAATCGTGAAAATGCCATTTTTTATTTCTCTGGTTTACGCATAAACGAAACACTGGCATCCAACTAGTTTATTCGTATAAATTCTATCTTCACAATTGAATTTCTTTGTATGTGTTTAGTGATATCAATCGATCGCTTCCCAAACCATTCTTGTTATGTATTGCCGTTGTATTGAGATAAACTGTGGGCCATTGCCCAACACTCAAGCTCCATTGAGCTTGATCCAGTGGTTAGGACCCGAATCCATCAAATACTCCCCGATGGCTGATTTCTGCTTATCATTGTTTCTGACCGCTTAAATGTGTTCCTTCATGCGAAATGCTATTGTACGTTTTGTCCGGCCAATGTTTGTGATCTACGAAATAAACAGGGCGCCCCATGGGTTTGTCACACGGAAGGAGAGTATATTAAATATTGAAGATGGGATATTTTACTGAAAAAAGACATAATTTATTTTTAATGATAACTAGAAATGCATTGACAGATTTTTTCAAATCGCCTGCTACAACTGGGAATTAAACGAAAATTATATAAAAATAGACGCTCGCGATTACAGAAATATTACTTGCGCCGTTTTCTACCCTGACCCAATACTTTAACACGTGAAGCCATGATTTAAAAGATCAATTTCAATATTCTTGATCATCATCGACTCTCATTCTGCTCTAACTTAAATAGTTTTATTGAAAAACGGTAAGAATACGACATGAAGAATATCAATCGATTACATATCGAGTAGCTTCAGCAGCGTGTCGATTCGAATTTATCTACAAACTATCAATTCGTCCTAGTGTAGGCAGTGGGCGTAGGTACAGTTAATTCTGGCATTGCTAACTTCTATGTGGGCTCTGGCAGTCGTATCTGTATTATGAACAAAAAATGACATTTGTGATTCGTTGGACATAAACAAAACACTGCTATCTTAAACTCACTGTAGGATAAAGGCTGGAAGTAAAAAAGGAGAGAGAAGTACATTGTAGGGTAAAGGTTGGAAGTTACTCCGCAATATGTTGTACCGACTACTGTTAACGAAGTAGGATTTCAATTAGTTGGATTTTTTTTACCATAAAAAACTCTTTTTCGGCAGTTCATTATGATATTAAACACGATGTTTTTCCATCATTCCAGGCTTTGGCAGTCGCAGCGATGGCTCTGCTCCTGTCTGCTATAGTCGGTGCCAAGAAGTTGGCATCTCATGACGATCACGACGACCACCAAGTCATCTACGCTGGTCACCACGGACACCACAGAAGGAGACGAAATATCGATACCCCGCTACCTTATAAAGGCTGGGCGGAATACGTTCCTCATGCTAACTCGAGTAGTTAAAGGGGGATTGTGATTTTTGACGCACTTCTTGAACTAACTTCCAACCTTTACCCTACAATGTTCTTCTCTCTCCTTTCTTACTTCCTACCTTTATCTTACGATGAATTTATGATAGCAGTGTTTTGTTTATGTTCTACGAATCACAATTTTTTTTTGTATTATGAACAAATCACTGAGTGTGTCTGTGTGGTTTGCTCTCATATTGTCTTTATATATATATTTATTTATTGACTTCTGAAATCTAGTCCTCAAACTGCCTCACTATATATTTAAATATATGTATCTAAAAGAATTGGTTAACATCAGATATCTTTATTTTTATTTAACTACTTTTTCTTTTATATTATTTTTTGTTTCCTTCTTCCCTCTCTTTATCACATAAATAAATATTTGTTTATTTATTTTCTGAGAGAAAGTGCGTGAAATATTCTCAATTTACCTACGAAGAACTTATTTATTGTGTAAATATTATATAAGATAAATATAAATTATTCACACAATTTTCTTATTGTTACGACAAAACTAATTTATTAAAGCTTATTTATTAAAATGTTTTATAATAACTTGTGTTGTTTTATTTTAATAACTCGTATTCTCTGTTTTTATTATGAAAACCTTCTTTGTGATACAGTGTGAAAAATTACATAGACTCTGTGCGGAAAGAGAATGGGCGTGGCGAAAAACGGAACTAACATTAAGATTTATATTTCCAATCAAACCCAGCAATCTGTAAAACGTCAAAGTATTGCGGTTTTTTGTATTTAATCATGTCTAAAAGGGGTAAAACCTTACAAATACGGTAGAAAAGCACTACAGCGCCCTCCAATCTAAATCCCATTCTCTTTCCGCACAGACTCTACATATGTTTTTTTCCGAACAGACACAAACTATTAAACATATAACTATTTCGAAGAATATAAAAAATTGAAAGCATTTCATTACTTCATTCTACTAGCTAACATGAAATAAAAAAGGTTTAGTTGAAATATTGTAATTTCGTAGTTTTCACACTGATTTGTTTTGAAGCCTCTTCATGATAAACTGTGAGCGAATAAAATACATAGATACATACATGAACTGTCTACTTTTCTACGCAGATACAATGGTCAGAGTAATATATTTACAGAGATTGAAAAAAAAAGCAGCTTTTTCCTACAACAGACCTTCAAACGGATGAAACGGTAAAAGAACTTTACAGGAGTTAAAAGTTTAAGTTTTTTAAGTTTTAAGTAAAATATAGAAGACGCCATTATGCAAATACCTTAGATATAGTATAGCCTATATTATAGGCATGTTAACAGTAGCTATCGGATTTTTTTGTGTTGGCAACAACTTAGCACAACTAATATCATAATCCAACAGCGACATCCCAAATGGATGAAATAGGAAAAATGTGCCATAAACGTGCAAAGGCATAATGTAAGATGCAATCTTACTTACGATCTCAATTATTCGGATTTCTGACAAATGTCAAATAACTAACACTAGCCAACAAATAATAATAACATACATAGCGACATTTCGCCGTGTAAGTGTCGCCGCACACGGGCCACACGCCACAGCCACAAACGCCGCCACGAAAGCGGCTACTAAAGTGGCTGAAGCGCGCGACAAGGGCCGACTAAGGTAAGGGAGAGAGGGGTGGGGAATCGCGCGAGTGACCTGTGGTGGCGTTTTGTATCGGCGCATTAAGTGGCCGGTGCGTGCCACAAGAAGCGAGCAACGACGATTTGTAGCGTGTGGCGGCCACCGACGTACCGTGTGTTGCGAGTCCATATAAAATGAATGAAAACTACAAGGAATATGCCGGTGGCAGCGTTTTGTGGTTGTGGTTGGTGGCCCGTGTGCGGCGACACTAATTGCGTTATACATATCAAAGTTATGTCTAAAATGGCAGCTACCGAAATCGGAAGTGAGATTTTATTTTACAGAATCGCCCTACTGATGGTTAATTACCATCACCAGAGTATATTTGACAAGCGTTTAGCTCGAGATAGTGAAATACATTAAATAACTAAATCATTTTTAATTTATTTTTGTTTCTAGACCAAAATCCACAGCATTTTCATAATATAATACAGGTTTAACAATATAGTTTATCTTAATGCCAATTACGTATATACATTTTTTAGTTACCTATAGCATAAAAGTTTAAGAAACCCTCTACAAAACAAGGGCGAGATGTGTGCAAAGCGCGCGCGCTATTGTACATGTGTATGTGTGTGTGTATATTTGTAGGTGTTTCATTTTTTTTTCTTAATAACTATTTACGTTATAACTTCTGGCAAACTGTATGAGTATCGAACATAGACAAGGAAGCCTCCGCAGTAGCAATTTTACATACAAAAACGTCTACTGCGCAGGTTGATTTGTCTGTTTTGCTGAAAAAGTTTGCTGCTACATATTATACCGATAGGTTTTAACACATTTTCTATAGTTCTTGGAATGTTAGTCCAAGCTTACTTTTAAAGTAAAGCTCTTGAAAGAGCATTGATATAAAGGGCCAAATGCACATATACATTATTATTATCATATCATTCCATCCCTATCAATTGCTTAATGTCAAACAGTGATAGTATGGGGTTAAAATTAGCTTTTAAACTCAACGGTAGGGCGATTCTGTGAAATAAAATCTCACTTCCGATTCGATATTCTGTAGCTGCCATTTTAGACTTTGATATGCATTAAGTGTTGCCGCACGCGAGCCACCGACCACAACTACAAAACGCCGCCACCGGCATATTTCTTGTAGTTTTCATACATTTTATATGGGCTCGCCACACACGATACGCCGGTGGCCGCCATACGCTACAAATCGTCGTTGCTCGCTTCTTGTGGCCCGCACCGGCCACTTAATGCGCCGATACAAAACGCCGCCACACGTCACTCGCGCGATTCCCCACCCCTCTCTCCCTTACCTCAGTCGGCCGCTGTCGAGCGCTTCAGCCACTTTAGTAGCCGCTTCTAGCTTCTCGTGACGGCGTTTGTGGCTGTGGCATGTGGCCCGTGTGCGGTGCCACTAATAATATATAATATTACCGTGGCTAGGCTAAGCGCGGATGCGGGTGACTTCTGCGGGCGCGGGTGGCATGCCACGTACATTTAGTAGTGGCTACAGCGGCTAAATAAGTGGACGTATTGAGGATGGCTCTAACTAAAGTGATGCGTAGTTGCCTTGAAAGCAGTTCGTATTTTATGCTTAATACTATAACTTTACTTGTACCTACTTATTATTAATTAGGTATTATCTTATAAAAGTTACTGTCCGGATCTGGAAAAAGCTGTTTGATTTCTTCCCATAGCCTTTTTATACTCATGTTGTGGATGCTTAGACATCCATGTAGGTGGTCGGTTTAATATTAATGTAATAAATGCTTCGGTGTCCATAATAAAATGATGCCGCTCGTGAATTCGTCCAAAAATTTTTGTTTCGCTGCCCCGAACCGCCGCCGCCAGCCGCAGCCGCTCTAGCCCGCCGGGCGCGTGTTGTAGCATACTTTATACACACTCATACATTTGTTTAATTAGCCAACCGTCACCGCCACCCGCAACCGCGCCTAAAAGTGGCCAAGCACTTATACGGCAAAATGTCGCTATGTTTGTAGAAGCAGCCAGTATTAGATGTCTGACATTTGTCAGAAATCCGTATATATGAGATTGTAAGTGAGAATGCATGTTACAGAATACTTATGCTGTTCATAATCAAATCTTTGTGAATGTCGTTAATGGCTCTATTCTTTGAAATTAAAGCATTATGTTCTAACTGGTTGTCACTTTATAGCTTAATAAATTTGTGTTATTACCTTTTTTCTGATTGCCAAAAGTTTGAATTTACGACTTAAGTTGCGAAAAACATCAACAATATCCACTAAATACATTTTTATAGCAAGAGTGCCACAATAAATTATTCTAACTGCAGTTCCGCTTTACTACTTGAGGCAAGTTAATTGTTTCTATAAAAACCCCCCTTTCCAATCAATAATCCGGGTATTGTCAATAGTAGGGAATAGTCGTCTATTAGGGGGCCACGACGGGCCACCGACCACAACCACAAAACGCCGCCACCGGCATATTTCTTGTAGTTTTAATACATTTTATATGGACTCGCCACACACGGTACGCCGGTGACCGCCACACGCTACAAATTGTCGTTGCTCGCTTCTTGTGGCCCGCACCGGCCACTTAATGCGCCGATACAAAACGCCGCCACACGCACTCGCGCGAGTCCCCACCCCTCTCTCCCTTACCGCACTTCAGCCACTTTAGTAGCCGCTTCTAGCTTCTCGTGGCGGCGTTTGTGGCTGTGGTGTGTGGCCCGTGTGCGGCGACACTTAGACGCGCCCTATCTTTGTAATTTTTTGGTTGATTGACAAAAGAGAGAATACGTGGCCATTATTTTTTGATAATCTTACGGATGGAGTTAATGGAATTTCGTTTACTTTTCCCCATCATCATCGCTATTCCAACAGGTATCTTTTATCCAATAGTATTTCTGTCAGTGCCATTTTTATGCACCTTTTATGGTATGCAATCGAACACGACTTTTAAATTAAGGCACTGAATAACCAGACTAAAAGCACGACTGAAAGCCACTCCGGTATCAAATACGGATATAATTTCCTATTAACACACGCACGCTAATGAACTATTTTTCTGACTGACACTAAATAGTTTTTTTTTGAAACACGCACGCAAATGTATTATTGTTCTGACTGACATTAATTAGCTTATCGCATGTGCCTAAGCAACTAGGATCTCGTCTGAGATTCACCACAGAGCCACTTGTGTTATTAAAGTACATTTTTATTGTAACTTACACCGGCCTCGCTTGGATTGTCAAATTGTGACGTGTGTATAACGGTCGGATCCGTAAATTTGGGTTCGACCTTTACGCAGCAATAGGGTATTTGACAGTATTAAAAATAAAGTGCCAATTGTTAGCTTCTGTATTTAGACTGAATATTGGCAGGAGTTTTCACTATTAAAAAAATAAATTACTTACCCACGATAAAGATAATAGTTTTCTTCTCTATTGTTACGTGACCCAAAACGCTTGGGATTGGTGGAGCCTAAAATGACGTCACACGCAAGTAAACTTCCGGTTAAAGTGACATTTGATCGTATGGTTTGACGTTTTAATGACAGTGGTGTGCCGACACACACCAGTGCGACGCCATATTGTCCAGAGATACGTTTTTCGCGGCAACTTGAAAATAGAGTTTTTGATTTGGTTTATTTACCGAAATACACAACATAATGATGAATATCTTTTTATGGACTCTATAAACATTGGAACATAACGTGAGATCGTTTTCTAAGACTTGTCAAATACCCTATTCCGCGACGGCCCCGTGAGTGCGAACGGGCCGGGGCGTCGCGGAGGGGCTTCGGAAATATGCCGGTGGCGGCGTTTTGTGGTTGTGGTCGGTGGCCCGTCGTGGCCCCCTAATAGACGACTATTCCCTACTATTGACAATACCCGGATTATTGATTGGAAAGGGGGGTTTTTATAGAAACAATTAACTTGCCTCAAGTAGTAAAGCGGAAC